GCGCCTCGTCCTTTGCCAGTAAATCTGGTCTATCGCAACACGAACGAGACCAACATCCAACTACACAGAACGAAAAGAGAATGGAAACTCTGTTGGGTGAATCTAGTCGCGACGTTAGACCTTCTGCAGTGTGGACTGATGATGAAATTAGTCTTTTAATTGAATTAGACACGAAATACAAAGATGACCCAAACATTAAACATATAAATAAATTAATTTCCCAGCCCTTACCCGGCAAGACAGCTAAACAAATATCGGATAAAAGGCGCTATTTACGTGAATCGAACCTAAGAACTAACGATGACAATATTATGCTCACCTCAGCCAATGACACACAATGTACCGTGTACGAACGAACAATTCCAAGAAACTTGGGCTGTTCCTACAGTTGAGCGGTCTGATGATGCGTTGAATAAAACCAGACATTTGGACAATGATACCTCCTATAAGATGTTTCTTAAGGAAGCAATCAATACTGCTGTTTGCCCTGACGATTGGCTAGAAGTATGGCGGCAAATCATAGAAGCCGCTAATTCAGAAGTATTGCAATCTGAAACGCTGGAGTCTATTAATACTAATATCACAGCAAAGTTATTGTCAAAAAAATTGACCGAAGAAAACGACTGCGGCCCTAAGAGCAAGAAAAGAAATACTCGCGGCAAAAAAGAAAATAGCTGCAGAATGGGCCGTAAGGCCAAGCACCGTCAATTTCAATTCGCCAAATGTCAGGACCTATACGAGAAATGTCCTAAACGCATCGCAGATATGGTTGCGAGTAACGACCTATCTCTGTTCGATTCTGTGCTACCACCGCCGCGAATAGAAGTCGAACGTTTATATGACGAACTCTGGGAGCAGCCAGGATCAGAGCTTTCGTTCGAAAGTCAAGCTGGCTGTACTATCGAAACAGCCTCGATTTTTAAACCCATTACCGAAGCCGAGGTTGAAAGAAAGATATGTAAGATTCCAGGTTCCTCTGCTTCGGGTTTGGATAAAATCAAGAAGTACCACTTGCGCGGCAAAGATGTACATATTGTTTTAGCTTCTTTTTATAATTTATTACTTTTTAAGCAATATTACCCTGGTAAATGGCGGTGCAATAGAACTATTTTAATACCGAAACCTGGTAAAGAAAAAAGCGATGTCCGCAATTGGAGGCCACTAACTATCAACTCGATATTGGCCAGAATCTTCTCCGGGTTGATAGATACGCGATTTAGAGCCTATGTTACGCAACATTAAAGGCAGAAAGGATTCGTATCAGTCAACGGCTGTTACGCAAACGTAACAGCACTAAACGCCGGAATCGAGGCAGCAAAGGCCTGCGGCGGTGTATGCATAGTGACAGATATTGAAAAAGCCATTGATTCCGTGCCACATAGCGCAATAAAGTTCGCCCTAGAAAGAAAGGGATTGCCATCCACTGTTGTATCGTATATTATGAACATGTTATCAAACTGTACAACAGTTATACGAACCCGAGATGGTGATGCCGCGATTGAAATACGCAGAGGCGTTAAACAGGGTGATCCCCTCTCGCCACTGCTTTTTAATTTATATATCGAGCCGCTTTTAAGTGTCCTTAATGAGAGTACTGATGGCATCAAAATTGGTATGACCGCGGTCGCCGTACTCGCGTTTGCTGATGACCTTGTCACGCTGGCCATTGATGCTGCTGCAGCCCAGAAGCAGCTTGATATTATAAATGCATTTCTGGAAAAACTAGGAATGAAGCTTGCCATAAGCAAATGTTCGGCATTTCATATAATTGCCAAAAATAAAACGTGGTGCGTCAACGACCCAGAGCTTCAGCTCAATGGCCAGAAGATAAGAGCAGTACAACCGGATGAAGCCTTTACTTATCTGGGTACTAAAGTTAGCCCGTGGCAAGGTTTGCTTAGTGGCTTCGAGCACAAGGCCTTTGATGATATGCTACGTAGAGTACGATGTTTACCTCTTAGACCGCTTCAGAAGATTGAACTTACAAGAACATACCTTATTCCGCGATATATGTACTGTCTTATAGCTAAGCCTCCTTGCCAAGGGGTTCTAAAAATGATAGACACTACCATCCGCTCAATTGTGAAGGAGATATTACACATCAGCCAATCTGTTACATCCAAATTTCTATACACACCTGTCAAATCAGGTGGACTCGGCATACAAGAGGTCGAAAAGCAAGTGCAAATTGCAGCACTGGGTAATGGCATCAAAACCCTTGCTAACACAGATCCGGTTATGCAAGAAGTTATGCGCCGAGAATCTATTGAAAACCAGCTGAAGAAGTATGCCGCAGCCCTTAGATTAAACTGGCCTCTTACTCTAGCAGATATTGACCGTTATAAGCTTAGGCTGAAAAAGAGCCGCATAACCGAATGGGCAAAGGATATAGCTCAAGGTGAGGGCGTCCTTGAGTTCAAAGACGACCCAATTCGCAACAAATGGCTCAAACAGCATAATATTCTCCTCCCATCTCGTGTAGCTGATGCCATCAGACTCCGTACCAATACGGCCGGCAACCGATCCACACTTAGCCGCTATACACCGAATATGGACGTATCCTGCCGTCGTCGCAATGATGGTAGAGAAACGCTTGGACACATCCTCGGCCTCTGTACTTCTACAAAAAGTGCACGGATAAAAAGACATAATGAAATTAAGGATCTCTTAAAGGAACGCCTTAGTGCAAAATATGAAGTGCTTGACGAGCCGTCCATCAGCTGCTCAGGTGAATTGTTCAAGCCCGATCTCGTCGTAAATGCGAATGAGGAAGGTGTTTTCATACTCGATGTGACAGTCCGGTAGGAAAAAGGACAATACCTGAAATTAGCACACATCGAAAAAATTAAAAAATATGTCTGCATTTTACCTACTCTGAGGCAAAAATTTAAACAATCTAAAGCTAGAGTTATTCCCATTGTGATAGGCTCTAGAGGTGCACTTCCAAACGTCACAAAATCAGAGCTACAGCGGCTTAATATCAAAAAGAAAGATTGGCTAACTATGTCTTTAATAGCGTTGCGTAGATCAATAGAAATATATAATAAATTTTTAGATTATGGTTAGATGGCCCCCTCTACCATTAATAGTTAATTAATTAATGTATTTTTGTCTTCTGTTAATTATCATTGTTATATTTGTTCGTTATTGTCCGTTGTTGTTTCTTATTGTAAGTATAAATATTAAATTAATGTGGATATACTTGACCTATATTCCTGCACTATTTTACATTAGTTATTTCCTCTAAATAATGACTATGCTTTCTTTCTTATTTGTTTGATTTCTTTTTCTTTCTTTTATGTTGTGACTATTTATTTGTTTATTATAGATGATGAGGCTATGACATATTTGTATATTTATAGGACTTTCTTCCTTTTTCTTAATGTTCTAAATGACGTGCCGAGTACGCGGCTTGTTATTCGTACGCAGTCCATCCATTTCTTAATATTGTGTGCAAGATACTAGCCAAATGCCTCGACATCTAATTAGTGACGCTCAAAAATAGATTGTCAAAACTTGCCGAATGCAGAACCGAAAGAAATAATGAGATGTCTGGGGGTCATATTAGATTCGTGGAGAGGCTTGCAGAGGGCATCGGTGAAAGAGATAGTAGATGCAGCCGAGGGTATTAAAAACCTGAGCCTTAAACCCCACCAAAAGGTGAACCTAATAAGAGAATATCTTCTTCCAAGATATATACACAGATTGGTGGCAAACCCACCCCCCGTTAGGTATATTAGACGACATAGATAAGGAAATAAAACAAATAATTGAAAAGATTCTGCACCTGCATTCATCTACCACAGATGGCCTAATATACACGGATAAAAGCCACGGAGGGTTGGGCATACAAAAGGTTGCGAATATAGTTAAAATAGCGAAAATAAGAAATGCGATTAAAATGAACGAATCGGAAGATGAGGTCGTGCGAATCGCGCTAAAAAAACAGGAAGACATGCTTAAAAAATACGCTAAATCTAAAGGTATTGAATGGCCATGCAATTTACAACGCGTGGAAAAAGCGTGAGAGATGGAAGCAGTTAATCTCACAGGGTCAAGGTGTAAAAGAATTTTGTAACAATAAGATCGGTAACGCATGGCTATACACTCCGGAGTTTTTAAAACCCTCTAGATATCGGGACGCGCTAAAATTACGGTCTAATACGTTTGGCACTACAGTGGCCTTAAGAAGAGCCAAAAAAGAAATAGATTATAAATGTCGACGATGTGGTGTCCAAGCAGAAACCTTGGGGCACGTCCTGGGTAACTTCACCCACACTAAAAGAAAAAGGATTAAAAGGCATAACGAGAACTGTGACTTGATACTTAATAAAGTAAATAAACGGTGTGATATTTTTAAAGAGCCAGTTGTGAACGTGATGAGAGAGTTAAAAAAACCCGATATGGTTATTAAAGGCCATGATAGGGTTTACGTCGTAGATGTCACAGTGGGATATGAAGATAAAGAAAATCTAGCCGAAGCATATAAAGAAAAAATGAAAAAATATAAAGACACGGCAGAATTTATTAGACTAAGAGTTAACGGTGCAACGGCGGAAATCCTGCCGATAGTAGTGGGATGTAGAGGAGCGATGCCTTATTTAACAAAGTTAAACCTTCAATTACTTGGGTTTCTGCAGAAAGATTTAATAACTGTATCATTAATAGCTCTTCGCTCATCGATAGAAATGGCGAACGAATTTATTGATTACGACTATACTATTTGAAGATTATAATGGTTTTTTATTTTATGAATTATTTAAGTACTATATGGACAAGCAGAAGAGCTATGGCGTTTTGTTGTTCTGACGATTTATGTTTTATGTTATGTGATAATTAATGTATTTATTTATGTTGACAGTACTGTTGCTTTTTGTCTATAGTTGTTGTTTTATTCTTTTTCTTTGTTGTTTGTTATACCCAACGAGGGGGCTAAAACCTCGGAAGTCTACCCATCCTTTGTCGGACGTTGGTACAGGATATAGCCAAATACCTCGTCATCTAATTAGTGACGCGCATGAATTGATTAACGAGATTCCCAATCTGTCCCTATCTACTTTCTAGCGAAACCACTGCCAAGGGAACGGGCTTGGAAAAATTAGCGGGGAAAGAAGACCCTGTTGAGCTTGACTCTAGTCTGGCACTCTAAGGAGACATGAGAGGTGTAGCGTAAGTGGGAGATGTCATGTCGCCGGTGAAATACCACTACTTTCATAGTTTCTTTACTTACTCGGTAAGGCGGAACGCGTGCACCGTGGTTTCGACCCGGTTGTCACGGTATTCTTGAACCAAGCGTATAAGAGTGGTGTTGAAAGCTCGTGGGCCGATCACCAATAATAACTCCTGCGTGATCCGATTGGAGGACACTGCCAGGCGGGGAGTTTGACTGGGGCGGTACATCTGTCAAAGAATAACG